GTCCTTTCATGTGCTTTATTAGTATTTGTATGTCTTTTCTGGTGAAGTGTCTGTTCAAATTTTTTGAGATTTTTTTGTCATTAAAGACTTTGGAGAGCTCTTTATATATCTGGATATGAATATGATTCTTTATTTTCTTAGTAGAACCTTTCAAAGAAGAGAAGAATTTAATTTTGATGAAATCCAACTTATCCATTTTGTCTTTTATGGAGTGTTCTCTTTTGGAGTCACATCTAAGAAATCTTTGTCTATCCTAAAACCATGAGGATTTTTTTCCCTATGCCTTCTTCTAGAAGTTTTATAGATTCAGATTTTACACTTAAGTCTATGATCCATTTTGAGTTAATTCCAGCACTATTTGTGCTGGAGCACTTTGTTTTATCTCCATTGAATTGCTTTGGCACTTTTGTCAAAATTCTATTGGCCATGTATCTGTCCATCTATTTCTGAACTCTCTAATATTCCGTTGATCTATCCTTTCACCAATACCACATTGTCTTGGTTACTGTAGGTTTATATTAAGTTTTGAAATATGGTAGTATGAGTCCTCCAACTTTGGACTTATTTTTCAAAATTGTTTTAACTATTCTAGTATCTTTGCCTTCCATAGAAAATTGGCTTGTCAATTTCTACTAAAAAAAAAAAAAAATCCTGCAGTGATTTGGATTTGGTTTGTGTTAAATTTATAGATCAATTTGGACAGAATTGATATCTCAGTAATACTGAGTCTTCCAATCCCTGAACACTTTTTATCTCTTCATTAATTTTGGTTTTCTTTGATTTTTTTCATCAGTGTTTTGTAGTTTTCTGCATACAAGGCGTTTTGTTTGTTTGTTTAATTTTGTGTTATTGTACTTTAGGTGAAGGCTTACAGAACAAATAGTTTCTCATTAAACAGTCAGTACACATATTGTTTTATGACATTGGTTAACAACTCTACGACATGTCAACGCTCCCTTCTCGACCTTGGAGGACCTTTTTCTTTTCAGTGAAAATATACATAGCCAAAGATACACCATTTCAAAAATTTCTACATGTACAATTCAGTGACATCGATTACGTTCTTCCAGTTGTGCTGCTATTCTCACTTTAGATGAAGGTTTACAGAACAAAATAGTTTCTCATTAACAGTACACATATTGCCCTATGACAATGGTTAACAACCCCACTACATGTTAACACTGTCCTTACTCAACCTTGGGTTCCCTATCACCAGCTTTCCTATCCCCTACTGCCTTCTCGTCCTTGTCCCTGGACTGCTGTGCCTCATTAGTCCCGTTTTGTTTTATGGGGCTGTCCAATCCCCAGCTGAACAGTGAACCTCGGGAGTGACTTCACCACTGAGCTAAAAGGGTGTCTGGAGGCCATACTCTCAGGGTTTGTTTGTTTAATTTTTAATTTATACTTATGTCTTTCATGTTGTTTGATGCTATTGTAAATAGTACTTTTTTTTCCTTTTGATTTCCAATTGTTGGTTTATAGAAACACAGTTGTTTTTTGTATCCTTGACCTTATAGTTTCACTTATTAGTTCTAGTAGCTTTTTTTGTATATCCTTTGTTATTTTTTATTGAGATAATCATGTTACCTGTAAATAGAGACCATGTTATTTCTTTCTTTCTAATATGTAGCTCTTTCTTTTCCTTGCCTTATAGTACCGGTAGGACATCCAGTATGATACTGAACAGAAGTGGTGAGAGCATGCATCCTTTCCTTTTTTCCAATCTTTGGGAGAAAGCATTCATCCTTCCATCAGTAAGTATGATCTTAGCTGTGGGCTTTTGGAGGTGCCCAGGAGAAATCCTACACTTTCATCTCTGAATACCAGCATCAGCATCATGACCTTTTTTGTTTGTTTGTTTGTTTGTTTTTAAAGTCTTTTCTGACCATGCTTCTCTGAAGAACCAGAGCTTGTGCCTCTCTGTGCTCCCTAGTGCCTCTACCACAGCTTCGCCCACTCTATTGGAGTCAGTTAAGTGTCTGCTTCCCTAGCAGACTCAAGTCTTTGCTGATAGAGCCCTGTGTCTCATTTCTCTTTACCTTTAATAGTATCTGATAAATAGTTGGCTTTGAATAACATTTTTTTTTTTTGCAATAATGAACTAATTATATTTTGGTTTCATTATTTCAGAGTAGTGGGAAAAACATGAATGTCCTCAACTAACCAAGAAATATACTAAATACTTCACACATAAGCCTTTTACAAACTATGACTGACTCCTGAAGGAAATCTGGCATCTTTACCTGCTCTGACAAACTGACATGCATTTTTAGGGCCACAACCTACCCCACACACTCCATCTTCCTTGTGAATACAGGGTGAATAATAGCATCAGAAGAAGGGATAAAGAAGGATACAGTAAAGAGACCGAACAGCCTGCTTGACAATGGCAGGCCAGAGGTGTGTGTTTGGGGAGTGGGATTGGGGGTGGGATGGTATATTTCCTTTAATCCCCCTGCTGGGTCCTGACTGCTTTCACTCCCTCTATCAGGTATCTCATGATTAAGGATATAAATTTTTTAAAGAGAAGGCTAGATGAACTGGGAAGAGGAATTAGGAGGGGCTTGGAGGAAAGTTTGCATCCAGTCCTTCTATTTTAGGAGTATCTTTTGTTTTGTGGGTAAGTTCTGGCTTTAAAAAAACCACAGAAGCAGAAAGTTGTCCAAAAGAGAACACGCCTAAAGCAAAACTCAAGACTTCTTTTTAGGATAAGACAGAGATTCAGGGAGGCCAGAGATGTTATCGTCGTTGTTAGGTGCCGTTGAGTCGGTTCCAACTCATAGCGACCCTATGTACAATAGAACGAAACACTGCCCTGTCCTGCACCATCCTCACAATTGTTCTGCTTGAACCCGTTGTTGCACCCACTCTGTTAATCCATCTCGTTGAGGATCTTTGTCTTTTTCACTGATCCTCTATTTCACCAATCATGATATCCTTCTCCAGAAATAAAGATGGCAAATTTAATGGCAGCTCCAAGATTTTGCTCCCTTGGGAACCTGAGTGTGACAGGTGGGTACAGAAAGGTGAAGACTGGCCCCAAAAGCCCTACATAAGGAGGAGAAACAATCCACTTCTAAGAAAACTATAAAAAAAATACTGTTAGATTATGTTTCTCTCTGCTGGGCATTCACAACAGTTAAAAGCTGATTTCAAATTAGTGCATTTATAACTTAATTATGATTAATGGAAAGAAATAAACTGTTCTATGGGCTGAGTCATGTCACGCGGTCTAATAAAGTATCAGTATGCTTAATCTTCTTTGCATGTTAAGTCTGATTGACCTGACCATTTACATTCATTTTCTATGGTGAATCAGCATGCATCTGAGACACTAATTAGAGATTACTTTGTGTCTCTGGTACTTTTAAAGGAAAGGCCTGAATGAAGGAATTAACCTTTGCTTAATTGTTCAAACTGCTAAATGTTTAAGGAAAAAAAAAAAAGAAGAAGAACAATTAAAACCACTAAAAGCAGAGATTTGACTCATGGTCTCTTCTTAGAACACACTGACCACACATCTGCATAATTAGATTAAAATGAGACAACAATTATGATTAACTAAAGGCAAGATGTGCTTGTGAGACTCTACATTTGCCTAGTATCAATGGCCCTATGATGTCACGTATTCCCACAGCTGCATATCAGAGATATTTGACCACCCCTCCCAGTTGCACTGACATAAAGTTCAACAAAAGTTATACCTGTCTCTCCAAATATTCTCAATTTTTAAATTTTGATTTCAAATTAATCATATATATGCAATTCAAATATAGATAATGCATGTGATACAATTCTTCCTAGATAAAATTTTTGGCACAGGGGAGAGAGTGAGGTGGATAAAAATAGAGAACAGCTAAAATTTTGCATTCTGATATGAGGAAAGAAGAGGTAGAATAGTTAAAAATGAGATAGGTTATAAAGAGAAAAAAGTAAACTAATTTGTGTTAGTTAATTTTATGTGTCAGCTTAGCTAGACTATGGTGCCCAGTTGTTTGGTCAAATGCTAGTCTAGATGTTGCTATGGAAGTATTTTGTAGATGTGATTAACATTTATAGTTGACCATAAGGAGATTGCCCTCAATAATGTGGGTAGACTCATCCAACCAGCTGAAGACTTTAAGAGCAAAAACTGAGGTTTCCCGAGGGAAAGGGACTCTGCCTAAAACTGCAATGTAGACATCCTGCAGGAGTTTCCAGCCCACTGCCTGGCCTACAGATTTTGGACTCGCTGGCCCCACAATCATGTGAGTCGACTCCTTAAAATCTATCTGTCTGTTTGTTTGCTTGCCTGCCCGCCCACCTGCCTGCCTATCTATACATTTTTATATCTTATTGATATATAAATGGAGAACACGGACTAACACATAATTTTCTAGCTTATTGTTGAGTGAAGTTTCTGAAAGTTTTAGTATTCTGGATCCTGAAGTGGTTTGCCTTTAATGAGGTCATAATGCTGATGTTTTTTCCATGAATTATTTGCTAAAAGACTAATCCCAAGGTTTATAGTCTGTGTTTGATGTTTAAAATACACAAAATAAAATGTCTTCATTAACCACCAACCAGTTGTCCTTGAGTCAATTTCCATTCATGGCAGCCCCATGTGTGTCAGAGTAGAACTATGCCCCATATGGTTTTCAGCGGTTGACTCTTTAGAAGTAGATCACCAGGGCTTTCTTCTGAGGTGCCTCTGGGTAGACTTAAACCAAGCGCATTAACTGTTTGCACCTTCAGGGACTCCTCCTAATTAAAAGAGTCATTCAACACTAAAAAAGTACCTAAATAATTCTAAATAATGGAGCAATGCATTTCCAACCCAAATCAGAGTGCTAGATCAGTCTACTTGCATAGTTTTATCTTACAGTGGACATATTTACCAAGATATGCATCGTCTCCACTATGATTAAAACCAATGAGCACCCAGTTTTCCCTTTTGGAATGAAGAAATCCATCTACATAAATAAATACTTTAAAAGGAGATAAGAAAGATATCTTCTTACCTGGATCCTTTTCAATTTGGACAGCCAGTCTTGTGTTGGAATTATCCACTCGTCTTGTACTAGAAGGGGCCAAAAAAAGGCAAAAAGACATAATTAGATCCTTCCAAACAAAATGGCTGGCTTAAAGAATGAGCTGTGTGAGTGGGGAATGTGAGGAGGCAGAGTTCCCATGAATAAGATGATTGCTCCGAGTAGATATTGCTGCAGAAGAGAGGGGTCTGATGACAAGGAATAGAGGGAAGAGAGGAATATGGAAGGAAAAGTGGTTCTCAGAGTTTGGGGAGGTGGCATTATGTCTTACCAATTTTGAGCATCAGGTCCACACAGTAAAAGCAAGCACTTGAACTGTTAATGGAATGTCACTCCCCTTCAGAACTGAGAGCAGTATGCAGAGGTATCTTTCTTTTCAAACTGATTCCAGAAAATTATGGTGGCTAATCAGTGGCTCCACAATTTGCTTTCACGAGTTGGCTGCGTTCTTACAGCCCTTTCCTTAGGTTGAGCCATGAGAATAAAACGACCCTCACAAACTTAGGAAAAGACTGATTGTCTGTAGCCATGGTAACAGGTGACCACCAGAACCAGTTTTAAGCCTATTCAATCATGACAACTCACCTCAGTTAACAGCTTTTAAAAGCCAACCAATCCATAACAGCCCCTTGTTTCTGCATGTCAGCTAGTTGGGGACAGACTTACTCCAGACTTCTGAGTGACAACCCATCAATAACACTCTCACCCAAGTAACTGCTTGTAAAGACCAGGCCAACCCACTCACACCTTTAAAACTTCACCTGTCCTTCAACTTGTCCACAGTGCTCAAAAGTACATTGGTCTGCTCTGCTTGGAGAGACTATGCCCGGCCAGCCTTGTCTTTTTACTTCAGATACTGAGTGGAAGTCTCATCATCCTTGACAACCATATAGAATTGATGATACTCAACTGTTTATGACCTGCACAAATGGCAGTTTCATATGGTTAAACCTAATACGTTCGCCATTAAGAAAAGGCTTTCACTAGAAAGAAAGGGCTTTCACTAGAACTATATCAGCACTGAACACAGGGCTTACATAAAGGTTTGAACATTAACAAGGGTGCCACCAAAATTTGTTAAAAGACTTATCTTAAACATGGCCTGGCCCCTGCCTTGGATGAGGCCCCTGCCTCGTCACTTTGGCCTTTGCTTTCTATGCTGCAACCACGCTGGTCTTCTTTTTCCATGTCTTCAGCATGCCCCAAGTTCCTCCTCCTGTCACCACACCATCCTTGCAAGTGTTGTTTCCTCTGCCTGGAGCTCTCTCTTTCCATTCCCACCTGTTTTCCTGGTTGACTCCTCTCATCCTTCCACTCTCAGCTCAACTATCACTTTCTCAGGGCAGCCTTCCCCACCTCTGCTCTAGGTGAGATTCATTTGCCATATGCTCTTTCATAGGTCATGCCTCTCCTTTGGAGTGCTCCTCGTGGTTAATATTAACAATAATGGTGACAACTAATATTTATGTAGCAATTACTTGTGTTATGCCCCATTCTAAGTATTTTACACACACTAACTCATTATATCCTCACAACAACCCTATGAAATAAGTACTATCATTATATCCATTTTCACAGAGGCAGAGCAGTATTAAGTAAACTGTCCGAGGTCACGGAGCTAATAGTTAGTAGAGCCAGGATTTGAACCCCCGGGAGTCTGGCTCTGGAGTCCTTACTCTACATCAGCCTTGCATTTCTTTGTGTGATTATGTGATTATGTCTGCCTCTTACACCAGATCCTGAGTACCACAAAGGCATGTTTTTGCTCACTACTGGCACATGGGAGGCATGCAGTAAAGTGAATGAATGAATGGTCAAAGATGATGCTGCTTCTGAAGATTTTTTTTCTCATAACACCAGCTAAGAAGAAAGGGGAAAGCTACCATCTGATGCTGCATACTTGCTTGCTGTTAAACATGATCTTTGGCCACGATTAAATAAATGGCTGGCACTTGGTAATGGTGCTTAAGAGGAAACCTCAGAATGCAAACTTCTTTTGTGAACTCACCTCTTGGGAGTCAGAACACATAAAAAGATACTTAGATGAAACCACAATTAGAATAAATGAAAAGGGTTTTCTTCAGAAAGAAAAAGAGTACTCCTTTTTCCCTCATATGTCTCAGACACTTGAGAACCATCTAGCCAGGATCCTGTTAGGGCTTTTGTGGAATAGACTTGAAAATGGGTTGAAAAGAAGGAATAATCTGTTACATCTGAAAAATGCTGCTAACCCCAGCACGCTATAACCCTATTACTGCTTTGATTTTCCTTCCAAACACTCTCACAGAAGCGCTGGAAATAAAAGAGCCCAGGATTGCCGAACACAAAGCAAACAACAACATTCTAACTAGGGCCAAAATCCCATCTCTGTGTAATTATTCCCTGAACTGAATTTTAATTTCACCTTAAGACCTAGGACAAATGGAATTTTCAGTGGTAGAAAAAACAATTTTTAAAGTGGGATTGAGCCAAAAGAAACTCCTTTACCAAACTCCTTGGGGAGTTAAAACACCTTCTGCAACTACGTTAACTGGAAAGCTATCTTCTCAAAAGGCTAGAGAACGCAAGTGTTAATCTAATCAACAATAACTAAACTGAACTGCCTGTGTGCCCCAGGGCCTCTGGCTCCCAACCAGACCCTCCTCAGAGGTGAGCTGTCAGCACTCTGGGTAATTTGAGACTTCCCCCAGTGTACTCCTTCTGAAAATTCCATGCTTACCACTCAAAGGTGCTAATTAGCTCAGTAATTGGATTCCTGCCTTAACTGTCCTATCGTGTGAACATCAGTTCTGTTGCTCAAGGAGAAAGCAGAGGCTTGTATCTCACTGCCCCACCTCAGTGGGAGTACAAAAATGCTGTATGTGTTCGGTGAGCACCTGCATGCTTGCCTCTCTGTTAGCCTGCCTGGCGAAGGTGCTGTGCACTGCTGGGCCGCTGTCTTGAGCGCTACAGGCCTAGGGCTTAGTGATAGTGATAGGCCTTACCAGATAAGTCAACTTACTCCCAGGCGCCCCTCTCCGATGTTAACACAGAATGCAGACAGTAGTACCAGTTTCTGCCCTCTGAACTTGACATGCCCACCCCCTGATCTGTTTTCCTATAGTCCAAACACCTTCTCTCTTGCATAGATTCATCTGAAGAACTTAAATAATTTAAAAGTAGCTTTCTTTAATTATACTAGTTCACTTTCCTGTTTGTCAACACACAAACCATTGATGCTAGAAGTGTCCCCATTGTTTTTGATGGGAAAAGTACATCTGGCTGAAGTGAGAAATATGATGGGTCATATGGGAGCCCTGGTGGTGCAGTGGTTAAGAGCTCAGGCTGCTAACCAAAAAGTTGGCAATTCAAATCCACTAGCCGCTCCTTAGAAACCCAATGGAGCAGTTCTACTCTGTCCTATATGGTCGTTATGAGTTGGAATTGACTCCACCACAGGGGGTTTTGTGGTTCAAATGGTGAACCTAAAATGGAATTATGAATGAACTGTAGTTCTATTCATGGGACAGTGTAACCTCAGAGAAATCCTGAGAATGAGGAGGCAGCCAGGGTTTAAATAGAAGGTCACTATTACCTTTTGGAAACCCTGATGGCATAGTGGTTAAGAGCTACAGCTGCTAACCGAAAGGTCGGCAGTTTGAATCCACAAGGCGCTTCTTGGAAACTGTATAGGGCAGCTCTACTCTCTCGTACACGGTCGCTATGAGTTGGAATCGACTCAATGGCAACAGGTTTGGTTTTTTTTTTAATTACCTTTTAAGTTCAACATATACAAAAGGTGCATTCAGGGTTTGGTTTTAATAATAATTTTCACTGTTGTTGACAACCACACTAGTTCTAACGCAGTGATGCTCTGCAGGCTGCTCAATCACCACGCACCTCAGGATGACTTGGCATGAGAGAAACTTCCTAAGGACACAGTGTGGTGTGCCGGCAGTCACCTGAATGATCTCTCAGGTGACCTTAAGCCTTGCTGACAGGCCCTGTGAGGCCTGGATTAGTCCTGCTTTCCCTTTACTTTAGGGGTTAGCTCTCTGGGGTCCCAAACTAAACATGGAGGTTCTTACCAATTCATCTCTGTTTGATGGGTCCTGGGCTTTAACTCTTCTTCCATTTGTCCTTCAAGACCACAAAAGCACAGCTTAGTTTGGCCATGTCTTCTTCCAGGTTAGTAAATATTCATGTGGTGAGAATGGCTGTGAGTGCCAAATTCTTGCCTTCTCCTGGATTGTGGTCTGAATACCTCTCACTACCTTGAAGTCTTTGAAGTTTTTAAGAAAGTCTTTTTTTTTCTCTCTGTATTTTTTTAGCTGCCTTTGGTCTTACCTAGATATCATTACTGGAAATTGAAATACGATTACAGTTTGTTGAAATTATAAAGGGTGTAAGGAAATTCTTTTTAATTGTTTAATATATAAACTATGTTTTTCAATATTCCAAGGGCACTTGAAAATGTATGTTCCTTTTTCTTTATGTATGTGCACATGTGTATTCTATAATCTATATTAGAGTTGCATTATTAATTATGTTATTTAAATCTTTTATATCCTCACCTAATTTTTTGATCATTTGATTAATTGTTAACCAAGAAAAGTAAATTATATTTCTTATTACTATGGTGTTTCTATTTCTTACTGAATTTCCTTTTATTTATTTTCTTTATGAATTTTGTTATGTGATTCAAGGCACTGGCATTTATAGCTTATACCTTCCTCATGAATTTTACTTTTTGTCATTATAAAATGTTCTTGATCCTAGTGGTTTTTGCCCCAAATTCACCTGTGTTTAACATTAATCATGAGCTTTGTTTTAATTTCTTTGTATTTTTCAGATACTTTAACCCATTCTTTTATTTTTAACTTTTCCAAAACACCATATTTTATCAGGAAAACAATACCATTTTCAATAGCCCCTAAAAAGATAAAATACTTAGGAATAAATCTGACCAGGGATGTAAAAGACCTATACAAAGAAAACTAC